GATTTCAATTGCTATATTTCCAATGGTTTTATTACCGTTGGAATATGCAAATTTCAGTGGAATTTTTATTTCTACCCCGTTGAAAAATCCAACGTTAGAATCATCAAAATCCAACGGAAATTCCAATGGAAAAATTCATTCCAACGGAATATTTTTGTTGGAATTTCTGTTGGAATCCATTGAAAATTTCCAACAGAAATAATAGTATTGAAATATCCGTTGGAATTGTCGTTGGAATAATTTCTTTTGGAATAGATTACTATTGGAATTTTATCATTTTATTGTAGAGTGCCCAATAATCAAACTAATAATGTTGTTTACAATTAGATTTTTAATAACATATGATTTTTTCATACCTGAACATTTTATGAGCATTTTTTCGCTCAAACATTAATTACCTACTATAGATGGAAATAATATAAAATGATCTAAATAAAAAATAAATCATTAATTGAATAATTTTCATATAACTCGATTTTTGGTTTGTGCTTGTTTTAGTAAATTCTTGGTTTTCTTTAATTACGTTGATAGTGGTTTTGTAGGCAAAAATTATGTAAATAATTATATATAGCCGATTTTGGAACTCTTATTTATCAAGGATTCTTTTTTATTTTAACAGATTTATTAGAATCATTGATTTGGATTAGCATATATGTTACATACACACAAAAAAAATAAAAAATTATTGTAATATTTAAATTTACATGGCGTCATGACCGCGCGTCGCAACGCGGCAAAATTATAATTTATATTTTCCTTAACTAACCTCTACTAACTAGTAGTAGTGGCGAGTAAGGGTCGATCTCACGAGGAGTGTGAATTAAGTTGTGTATTTCTCGTATTAATTGAATTAAGAAAGCAATAAAAAGAGGGGGGGGGGGGTTTGAATTTAAGAACTAAATAAACTAAAATCCTAATAAAGCAAATATTATCTAAACAATCAAAATAAAAATGAATAAATGAAGAGAACCTTCTAGTTCACGGTTCCGTCTACACCCTCGACCGACTCGTCTAATTAATTCTGGTATAAAATCTCGCGTTCTATGGAATTACTAGCCCTAGGTAACGCTACAGGTTGTTACCCGAATGTTTCCTTATTTTTAATCTAACCGCGAGACGCTCTACGATTAAATCTGACCTCGTGAACAATCTAGGAAACGCTTCCTAAATTTAATTCAATTAGCCGCTTTACGATTTAGAAAAATAGGCTAGACTAAGTAGCGAAATTTTCATTCACTTAATTAGGTCGTGTTATCCCCGATAGTTACCATCTTCTGGTAGCCTCTAATTGATTAAACACATCAACAATTATCGATTGACAGTTTGAATCTAGCAGTAGATATGAAAAGCCAAGTCTAGGTGATCAAGCTAAACAAGACTCAACAAATCAGGGTTACTTATTCAAAATAATACAAACAATCCCAAAAGATATTGAAATTATCAACCAAGAGAATTAATCAAACATTCGTCGAGTCTTAGGGTTCAACTTCCCCGGAACTAGAAATAAAAATCTACTCTAACATACTAAAAAAATAAATAATAGATAAAAGAGAGAGATTAAATTATCTCCCTCGTGTACGGGTGCGGCCTCCCTCCGCAATTAACTGGCTTCCTCGCGTTCTGTCTGCTTTTTCCTATGCGGCTCTATCCTCCCTGTTCTCTGTTCGCTTCTCTTTTTCGTGATGTAGGCGGTTGTGTTTATCTCCCCGTAAAAAAATAAATCCTAGTGAATCAGTGAATGCCCTTTATTTCCAAGTTATCAATTACTATCTTGTGGGCTAAAATTAATGTGACTTGTGGGCCAAACTTAATTGCTCCGCATGAAATAATCTGCCACCACATTTAGTGATTAGAACTTTGAATTTCTCTTAACTAAGTTGGTATTGGGCTGGTATGGTACTTGATACTCTGTCGGTTGAAATTTCGTTTATTTCCACGTCGCTCATGAAAATACTCCAATATCCTACAAATAAAACATAAATATATCATAGTACTTAAATCCATCTAATAAATAAATAAGTCGAAAAATATATAAGTGCGATAAAATTAAGCATATAAAAATACGCTAATAAATATATAAAACACACACTTTTTCCGACCAATCACGTCAATTTTGGAAATCTCATTTGTGAGATTCTTTTTTATTTTATCATATTTATTAGAACCAACAATTACAAAATAGAAATTTATATTTATATCTAAATATATTTATATTAATATTTAAATATATTTTTCATTGTAGCAGATTTTGAGAATGAACGATTTTATATGAGTTATATACAAATCTTTTTTTTTTTTGAGATATACATCAATTCCCTTTATTGGTATTCTTTTTGTCAATTGTTTTAAAAAATAAAATTTTCAAAATTTGTATAGTAAATCGATTTTTTGTTTTGTATACACAAAATATAAATTTATTACAATATATATATATATACATATATACTACCTAAAAAGTTGTCACACATATAATAGGAAAACTGTCCAATTAAAAATTGTTCAGTTTGAAAATATATAACAAGTTGTCACACATTCAATTAAAAATTGTTCGGCTTGAAAAAATTAGCCTGAAGTAATGTCTAATCACGAATGTTTTATATTTTATATCTACTAAATATAATCTTTATTATAAAATTAGTGTGATGTAATATTTAATGTTTTGTATTATTCATACATATTTTTGTTGATATACACCAATTCATTTGTCTTACTGTTGTATAAATTATCAAAATATAAATAGATCCATTTTAGACTTTCATTTAAGTTCCAGCGGCACCAGTTCTTTCTGATTTTGGGGTTCCATTTAACAGTCATGGTCAGTCCTTTTGTATAAAAAAATATAGAAATATTAGTGAATATTATATAGCTAATCAAGTATAATCGATATTAAACTAACAACTCATTGTCTGACTGCCTAAGTAAATTATCATATTATAAAAAGATCCATCTTAGGATTTCATTTAAGTTCTAGAGCACTAGTTACTTCTAATCTTAGGGTTCATTTAAGATCAGGGTCAATCTTTATGTGCGCTGGCATATTATTAAAGAAATCGGTTCTTAACAGCGACCGATTATATGTTGTTGTTTTTACGTGTAAGTAATAGATAAGAGATGTGCATTGACATGTTCTTAAAAAATCTTTTTTTGATCACGACCAATTGTATGTTGTTACGCGTGTAAGTAATAAGTCAAGAAGAGTCAAAGTCAACATTTATTGTACGTTGACATGTTAAGTAATAGATCAAAAAGAGTCAAGATCAACATTTATTGTACGTTGGCATGTTCTCAAAGAAATCGATTTTTAGTCACAGACAATTATGTTGTTTGTATCGCGTGTAAATAATAGAAAAGTGTTAAAAATATTAGTTTGTGGGGACAACAAGTTGATCAGTTATTGAACAAATAATGTTGTGTACAAGAAAGTTTAAATAATATATTTTTTGCATGATGAACATTTTATGGTTTGATAATTTTCCTACGAATTGTCACTCTTTTATTTATTAATATATTTTAATTTTTAATATTATCCAAAGTAAATACAGCTCGTGCATTGCACGGGTTACATACTAGTTTATTATTATAAGTATAGTTATATCAATATAAATAACGGCATATGGATATCTGTATATATCGTTTCAATATATTAAATAACATATATATATATAGAGGGTTGGGTTCACATGAGAATGATACTTAGTGAAAGAAATGAGAATAAATGGTATCCATTAGATCATCCAATCTAATGGCTAAAAAACATTTTTTATATATTTTTGTAAACATTTTTAAGTTTAAAAGTTTATTTTAATTTCACAAGTAGTAATAACCTTTTTTTTTGTATACTAGTATGAATCTCGTGCAGTGTACGAGTAAGAAATATTCATTAGTATTTAATAAATTAAAAATTCTTATTAAATAATATTTTTAAATTAAAAATATGGAATCAATATGTAATACATTTTACCTATATAATTTATTGAAAATGATATATAAAGTTTAAATTGTACGAAATTACATAAAAATATCTATTTAAAATTAGTACACAACCCTTGTAGTGCACATAACTAATAATAAATTACATTATATTCGCTTCAAAATAAGTGTACTTTCAAATTTTTTATTCAAAAGTTCAATTTGACTATAATGTGATTCCATAAAATAGTTATTTTGGTAAAATTTTATCATATATTTAACAGCCTATGTGAATAATAAGTATAAATATATAATTTATATTGTTTCATTAATTAAAATAAATTTATTTTTGTATAAACTATTCAATTTTTTTTTTTCAGTTTATTATATTTTAAATTTAAACAAGGCAACCAACAAAGGTAACAGCCGCAAGTTTTGTAAAAAATATTATATACCAATCTTTAAATCATTTAACTAATAAAGGTAATAGCCGCAATATTTGACCAAAATGATTTTATGCATTAATTACATTAATTTAGGTGAGATTTTTTAAATTTTGATGAAAAAATTATCCAATTTAATAAATTTTAGGCGATAAACCAAATATTTTTTTTACTGATATTTAGTTACTATTATATATTAAATATTAATAGATAGATTTTGCTTATTATAATACGAGTAAATTATAATTTTAGTCTTGTATGTTTCACTACTTTAACTTTTTGGTCCTTTTCGAATTGTGATTTTCATTTTCTCTCGTATGTTTAAAAAAATGTTACACAAAGGTCCTTTTCATACATAAGGGACGAAATCAGAACAATTTTTTGCGAAACATAAAGGACCTTCATGTTGTGAAAAGGACTTTTTTGTAACATTTTTTCAAACATATGGACGAAAATAAAAAAACACAATTTAAGACGAAAAAGTTAATATAGTGATTGTAATTTACTCTTATAATACGGATAGGCATTTTCCTCAACTGTGTATGAATAGGAATGATTTATTCAGACTATTCCTATTTCTATTTGTCTGTGGAAATGTGCCCTTTGAAAATGAAATAAACCCCAATCTTCCATCCTCTGAGATCGGAAATGTGCCCTTTGAGATTCCTCCTGGTTTTCTTCTCGGCGGTGTTGGCCGCCTACTTCGCCTGGAAAACGGTGTCTCCTTCAGATGAACCCGACATCATCACCACACCAGATGATGAGAATTCCACAATTGAGAAGCACGAATTTCATTTTCTCAAGGTACAATGGAGGACAATCGTACCAAATTTGTGCTTTGCGTGTGTGTGTGTGTGTGTGAGTATTTATATCGTCTTCCTTTTTTGTTGTTGAGTATTGTATTATAAATGGTGATTAACGCAGTTTGTGATATGTATTGACTTGGCTGAAACTCAGATGATGCAAAAAGGGTTCTTTGTGTTCATCGACATGGCAAGCGGACGATACCTTTGGAAGAAAGTCAAACAATTGAGCAACAACAGCAACCAACATGTTGATTAAGGCAACCAATCAGCTACAATTTGGATTATTTTTCAACAAATTAAGCGAATCTATGTAACTGCTTTCTGATTCTGGATATATATATATATATATATAAGATTAACTATTTGAGCTATACGGAAAGAATGGTTTGTCATGTGGTTAAACAAAATGAACAACAAATAGGGAAGGTTACCGTTTACAAGTTTGATTTTTTTCCCTCTTCTGTAATGAAAATGGATATTGTTGCTGCTCAATTTTATTTGATTGTTGTATAAGAACTATTATATATATATATATGGTTCTGGTCGTTGTTCGATGATGGGGCATGGAGATGGAACGCTTTGTTCTCAATAAGGATATATTACCAAATGGAGTTCTGTTCATGCATCATTATTCATTAGAAGTGATTATATACATGTTATATGCTATCTCCATTTTCCGTATATGCAATCTTCTGCTCACTCTTAGATCTTAATAGGTCTTTATTCTACCATGACCGGATGGTCTGTGTTCATCAGCATTCGATATTAATCAACCGTACATTTTGTAGAAAGGATGAATGTGTTGTGGGTAATGCACTGACTTATTAAATTGATGGTAGTGAATCTCTACTTAATTTCGAGAAATGAATATCTTGTCCCTTTTAGGATGAACTCCTGCTTAGTTTTAAGATGCACGTCTATAGTGGACTTGGATGCTTCACAAGGTAGAATATGAACTTTAGAGAATAAGAAGAAGAAAAATAGCAGGAGAAGATGATTCAATTGTTTATGAAGCGTATATAACATCGAAAGAAGAGTAACAAATGTATCTCAGTTTGTGGACCAACAAAACTCATACACACGCACATGCGTTTGAAGTTAATCCTTGGAGTTGTTTGTTGATAATGTCATAAAAATTGTCCTTGTTTGGTAACTGATGATATCCACTTTGATTCGAGACAGTGGGGTGGAGAAGCTGATGTCTTATTGATTTGGCATTGGTTTTGAACAAGTATTTGCAAGTGTCACACATTATATGCTTCTTCGTGCTAGGCATGCTTTTAGTTATTCTCAACTGATTCAATTTGGACAATTGTTGTGAATGTTCAACCACTCTCTGGTCTAGGATTGGTCGTGGCTCCAGCACTCGGATACTTTCCTCGTATTTTTATTTAATAAACAAATTGTGAAAGTAATTTATGCATTTCATAAATACAATTTGCAACTTAGGGTGGTTGAATATTCTGAGGAATTGAAATCATAAAAATTGAGGATGCAGTACTGAGGAGTGAGGAGTCTTTGTTGGATGTAAATAATCTAAATTACTAATAGTACTAATATATTTCAAGTGCGTAACAGATGCTTATCAACTGATGCACCATGTTATAAAGAAGTAAAGAATGATATAAATTTAATATAATAACACGATACATCACATTGCTTTAAAATGCTAAATCTACATAACATTTTTTTGTCATCTTTAATGTTAAATAAATCAACAACTATTAAATATATACATTGATCCACAAGTTCCTCCGAGTCTGAAAATAGACCGGTTTCGTCACGAGCGGTCTTTTGGCTTGAGCTCTGATTACTTGCAAAACACGCTAAGAGAGGGTCATGGCGGAAAACCTCCAACGCTCAAGATAGATATCTGTCTTTTTAGCTAGAATGTTGGAATAGATATCTTGCACATGATGATTATCTCGTTGTGTTCCATGTTGGGTCGGTTATGCAAGCCCTAGATTATCTCTAGGTCGCTACAAATCCATTTCATATTCAAGCTCTTTGATGAGCTAGGTTAAACCCATTCCCCAATTTATAATTGCATTATTTCTCAAGCTAGTATACCGGACTCCTCGATGAGGTTAAACATTGTTCACCGAATTGTAGATGGTGACCTGAACCGGTTTGTCCGAGCTAACAACTCTTAAACAATTCACCGGGTTAATGTGGGTGATATATCATATGCATCAACTTTATATAATCTCAAACAATTATTCAAAACTGTGTTACAAGTGTTGGAATTTTTCACGGAAAATATAAAGTGCTCAAGTT